TATAGGCTGCTGTAAGCCGTCTGCCATATTGGAACAGCCATAGCAGGTCCATAAATCTCAAGAGCAAGTTAATTGTGCCTCTGCAACCGTAGCCATAGTATAAATGAATATCTCTATCTGCAACAGACTTCAGCAGATAATTTTGCTCAACTCACACAATACAACAACTGTTAGCCAACATGACATTAAAGGGATAGTTCACCCAAAAACGAAAATTCTGTTATTAATTAAGTCAAGTCACCTTTATTTGTATAGCTCTTTATACAATACTGGTTGTGTCAAAGCAGCTTTACAGAGTCAAACAGGAAAATAGCTGGTCAATGATGCAAGTAGACAATAACAGAGTCATTTTTCCAGAGTTTGGGTGCTAAATAGGAAAAGAATCTGCCGCCCGCAGTTGATTTTGATATTCTAGGTATTATCAAATGGCCAGAGTTTTGAGATCAGACGTGAAGGACTATAATGCAATATGAGCTCGCTCAAATACTGAGGGGCTAAACCTTTCAGGGCTTTATAAGTAATTAGCACCCTCACCCTCGTGTCGTTCCAAACCCATAAGACCTTCATCATCATCATAAGAAGTCGGAACACAAATTAAGATATTTTTGATGAAATCCGAGAGCTTTCTGATCCTGTATAGACAGCAATGCAACTGAAACGTTCCAAGACCCAGAAAGGTAGTAAGGACCGTTAAAATAGTCCATGTGACATCAATGGTTCAACTGTAATGTTATGAAGCTACGAGAAAACAATTTGTGCTCAAAGAAAACAACTTTATTCAACATTTTTCAGCATCCGCTGCCATTCTTGAGAGTACCAAGACACGTGTGTGCACAAACCAACACATTCTCTCCTGTGAAAGGTTATCACATTTCTTTGGGAAAGTTACATCTTGGCAGTTTTATAACCTGAGGCTGCGCAATATTGTGGAATTTTGGAAAACTCATTGATTTATTTATTTTTTTATTGTAAATGATGACACGTTGATTGTTCCAAGATGGCAACGCATCTACGTGTCTGGAGTGTTCGAATGTGGCATCTAACTATACTTATCTATGTCTCTGCATACATATGTGCACACAAAAAATCTATGTCTGGTGGCTGGTGGAACGATCTTCCCACCCCTATCCGGAATGCTGAATCCCTGACAATTTTCAAGCGACAGCTGAAAACTCATCTCTTTCGAAGCTACTTGACTTCATCATAAAAAAAAAAAAAAAATTATTTATTCCTTCTCTTTCTAGCTTGTACTTATTTGAACAATGTCTAAGAACTTGGTATTACAACCACTTCTTGTGTCTGTTTGCCTCTCTTAAGAAGAATCGCTTTATGTATCCCCCAATTGTAAGTCGCTTTGGATAAAAGCGTCTGCTAAATGACTAAATGTAAATGTAAATGTAAAAAATGTTACGGTTCCTTTAAATGAGATAATTAATGAGAGATCAAAACGTGATCACCCACTTGAACCGTTATGAAATGACTGGATTTTGCTCGTGCAGATTCACAGAGCAACACTGTAGTAAATGTTGCTGCAATTAGTTATAAAAACGTAAAGCTGCATTCCGTAAATTTTTTTGGGTTAAAAATGATCCAAAATCAATTATAGAGCAACTACATAACCAATTTCTAATTTGAGTGGTTCGGGTCGGTTTCAGAGTTTGCCGCCATTCGTCTTTGCACGGTTTGACGTGATCTGAGCTAACTTTGCGATTGTTAGATTTAATCACGATTGGTAGCACGATTTATTGTAAAACTTCAGTTTCCGTTGTTCAGATGACATTTTCTGGCGAAACGTCTTATTTTGGGCGTACTTCCAAGACGTAGTATCTGTAATTCGTAAGTACAGTGAATATCCACACCGGTGCGTTGACTGACAGCCCACACACATCTCAAAACATTAGATTCATCCGTGCTGAAGAGCCGTGCCGATGCACAACCCACGTAAAGAAGATCATTCCGCAAATAACTGCAATTGCAGGTTTCAAACAGTGACAGGCAAAACTTACGGACTGCAGCTTTAAGATTTGTCGAGATGACTTAAATATTATGGAAGCCCATTTCTGCCACTGAATAAAAAATAAAACAAGGTAATTGCGACTTTTTGTATTACAATTCTGACTTTTTCTCACACAATTGTGAGATATAAACTTGTAATTCTAAGAAAAAAGTCAGAATTGTGAGTTTATATCTTGCAATTTGGACTTTATTTCTCAGAATTGCGAGCTTTTGCAAACTTTTTTTCTCTTAATTGCAAGTTTATGTCTTAGAATTGCGCGTTATATGTCAAAATTGTAAGATAAAAAGTCGCAAATACCTTTTTATTTTATTTATTCAGTAGTGGAACTAATATATCCAACTTAACAAAAATAAACTTAACTAAACTATAATTTTAAGTGAAGCTTGAACATTTGCTTTTTTTGTTGTTGAAACAACACGTTATTACTTGTTCTTTTAAGTTGTGATAAATTATCGCAGCAGTCATTTTTTTTACAGTGAATGTGAATGTGTTACATCATGCTAAAACCCTCTCAGGGCAGTTTCATCTCTAAATCTAAAGAAATATTGAAACTAAAATTTTAAAATCTACATAAACTAAGCAACTTAAGTATTAAAGTAGTCAGTTGTACCATTTTAGTTCTTACACGTTTCATAACACAAACAATGTGTAAAGGCTGCTTAGCGAGTTTAAAAAAAATAAAAATTTGACTACATGATTAGAGTTCCGGGCCTCATTGTGTGTCTATTGCTAATGATTGTGTTGTTTGTTAGAGTGGGGAACATGCTGTTTTCAGTAGAGACTCAGACCACAGATGAGAGGACGCAGCAGTATCAGTCAGAAATTGAAGCACTCTATAAAGATCTCACTGCCAAAGGCAAAACCCTGATGCTCTCCACTGAACTTGGGGTAAGATTAACATCTGTTTGTCTGTCTGTATCTGTTCTTCTCTGAGCATTGATTTCACAATCTCCTCTGTCTCCTGCTGAACCTGTATTGGGACTGCTGGCGTGTGTTCATTAGTCACGTCTCTTGAAGCAAATAAATTCAGCGTCACTTAAACGCAGTCTGTGACCTGTGCCCTCCATAAGTGTTAGAACAGTAAAGGCAAAATAGTCAAGAAATCTGTAAATTTGATTAAAAGATGAATATTAGACAAAACTACAGAATGTCACATTTTATTATTGGGTGATTCAACACACAAATGTTTTACCAACTAAGAAGAACAGCACTTTCAGAGTTCCATTCCCCAGTCTGATGTGAGCATAAGTATGTGGACAGTTGAACTTAAAGCAAATGTACAAGTTTAAAAGCTAATATTTAGTTGCGAATCCCTTGCATGCAATCACAGCAGCGAGTCTTCGACCCATAGACATCACTAGACTCTTGGTTTTCTTGGTGTTTAAAATAGAAAATAGTTTTTAAATTGCAATAAAATTTCACAATATTACTATTTTCAAATAAACATAATAAAAATGTTCTTTGTCTGTAGCAACGAAGCATAGCTATTTGTATTTATTTTTTATTTTCGTTTGTTTTATTTAATAATTACAAAACAATTTCATGGTTAATGCATTGTTAATTTTGTAATAAGGTTCAGCTCCACAGCCATATCACCCTGCAGCCCAAGACTGGTTGCCCACTGAAGCTAAGCTGGGTTGAGCCTGGTCAGTACCTGGATGGGAGACCTGGGAAAACTAGGTTGCTGTTGGAAGAGGTGTTAGTGAGGCCACCAGGGGGTGCTCACCCTGTAGTCTGCGTGGGTCCTAACGCCCCAGTATAGTAATGGGGACACTATACTGTCAAAAAGCACCGTCTTTCGGATGAGACGTTAAACCGAGGTCCTGACTCTCAGTGGTCATTAAAAATCCCATGGCACTTCTCGTAAAGAGTAGGGGTGTAACCCCGGTGTCCTGGGCAAATTGCCCCCCTGGCCTTTGTCAATCATGGCCTCCTAATAATCCCAAACCACTTGATTGGCTCTGTGACTCTCTCTCCTCTCCTCCTGTAGCTGGTGTGTGGTGAGCGCACTGGCGCCGCTGTCCTGTGGCTGCTGTCGCATCATCCAAGTGGATGCTGCACACTGGTGGTGGTTGAGGAGAGACCCCCTCACATGATTGTAAAGCGCTTTGGGTGTACAACAATACACAATAAAGTGCTATATAAATGCATCATTCATTCAACACTGTTTTACATTGAGTGGATAGTTAAAAAAAAAAAAACTAGTTTATATATATATATAATTATATATATATATTTTTTTTTTTTAACTATCGGCCAATTAATCTGTAATATCCTCTATTTTGCAGACCTCAAATTTTAATAAATGCATTTGCTAAATCATTCTGTACTCATTGTACTTAGGGTTGGGAATCGAAAATCAATTCCGATTCCAGAATCGGATACTTAAGGTCAGGAATCAGACACTTATCGAATTAAAATTTCGATTCTGCCTGTCGATTCCGATGCGCTTTTTTTCTTTATCTGTGAGAATCGGACCTAGCAATCTGCCCAGGACCTTGCTCACTAATCTAAGCGCTCCAAAGTTTGGCTACATTTGCGATCAGAAAACAAAAAAGCTAAGTATAATATCTGTGATAGCTAAACATGTTGCAAGAAAGGTGTCACCACCAACATGACAAAACACTTTAATTGAATAGGTCGTTAAAGATCGCGAACGTGATTCAAACACCAACATGATTCTGTTCCTAAATTATGATTCGTCTGTTTCATTCCTCAAACTTTGACGTGCGAGATCAATGTCGTGATCACGTGGTTCGTCTATGCAGCGTATGATCACACCAGTGTGATTTGAACATTTAAATTTGTGTTTGCGCTGCCATTGACCTAAAGAGAGCAGCTGTCATCTGTCATGAACAAAACCGCTTCACAGTCTTATCAGCCACACAGTATCATTATTTCTGTTACAAACATTCAAATCACAGAAGTACTGGGATAAAAGTTTATAGTTCAGATATAAACTTTCGTGTACGGTAGCGATTAAAATAGAGTAAATCACCTTTTGAAAGTAATTTGACACTTCAAATGAAGATTTATCGATTACATTGTTACGTGGCGAAAAGGGGCTGTTAAAATGTATTTGTCTTTGAATCATACAAGAGATTCGTTCAAGAACTTAAAAGAGTCCAGTTTTTATGTAGCCTGTTGGTTTTTGTTCATGGTATTCAGCTCCAATAAATGGTTTGCAAAAAAGAGACACAGGATAGATGTTTGATGTCATTATTTAATCACATTGGAATCGAAAAGAATCGGAATCGATAAGCGGAATCGGAATCGATAAAATTCAAACGATACCCAACCCTAATTGTACTGTAAGTTGCTTTGGGTAAAAGGATCTGTCAGATGCATAAACGTCATAAATATAAAGTCAACCTGCTGCTTTGTTGCTATCATTATTATCACCACCATCAAATCCTTATGGATAGTCGTGTCCTAGTGGTTAGAGAGTGGGACTCGTAACCCAAAGGTTGCGGGTTCGAGTCTCATGTCCGGCAGTGGGCGTGAATAACCAGCACTCTCTTCCACCTTCAACTGCTCTGGGTGTGTGGTTGTGCACTACTCACTGCTGTGTGTGTGCACCTGAATGGGATAAATGCAGAGCACAAAGTCTGAGTATGGGACACCCTTCTTGGCCACCCGTCACGTCCTTTCCTTTCCGTCCTGGAACGGTCGATCCTCCAATTGAATAATAACAGAACACAGTTCGAGATTAACAAAGCAAGAAGACAACTGTTTATCATTATTTTAATAGTATTTTTTGCCTTTCTCTCCTCTGTCTTTGTAGGACGCAGATGCCGTGTTAAATTTGATTCTTTCTCTGGTGTATTACTTCTGTAACCTCATGCCACTGTCCAGAGGCTCCAGGTATGAAAACAATTGAAAAACCCAGTTTGGAGAACATTTATGGCTTCATGAGAATCAGGGATTTAAACTTTAGTTTATGAGTGGTATTTAAAAACTTTAAGAAGTCAGTTAGCAATGTATTAATTTAAAGGGGTCATATGATGCGATTTCGATTTTTCCTTTCTCTTTGGAGTGTTACAAGCTCTTGGTGCATAAAGAAGATCTGTAAAGTTGCAAAGACTAAAGTCTCAAATAAAAAGAGGTATTCTTTATAAAACTTAAGAGTCAGCCACGCCTCCTAAAACGGCTCGTTCTAACACGCCCCCACATATCTACGTCACTATGTGGGAAGATTTGCATAACGCCGCCCAAATGTTCACGCAAAGAAAGAAGGCGTAACTTTTATTCTCGCTGTAGTATTGTTGTTGCCGTCGCCATGTCGAGAAGGCGCTGTGTGTTTGTGATCTGTGTGTTTCGTTGTGAAAGCTAAACTACTTTGTTTGGCCTTCCAAAAGAGGATGATATCTGCTTCGTCAGCTGGAGCTGATCCGTGCTGGTCGCTGAGGAAATACTCCAACTTCACGCTGTGGATTGCCGGATTGGTTTTCACCGTGGACGAAGCGGAGTCCAGCCCGGGGGGCGTCACATGGGGTTGGCGCCAGCCCTCCGGACGCTCCTTCGTCGAATCAGCAGGCCGCGCCGTTCTTTGTTGCCCAGATTTTGGTATTTGATGTGTTGTCGCTTCACCTTTTTCCAGAGGTGTAAAGTGGACTTTTATGGACGTAGTCCTCTTTTATGGAAAAGAGGACACGACTAGAAATCAGTGGTTAAGTTGTATTTACAACACTGTTCCAGAACACTTCAACCCAAATATTCAGGTGTGTCCAGCACATTTTATGGAGGACTTTCCTGATCCTGGGAGAGTAGACAACAATACCGGCTGTTCTGAC